TAGATTAATATAGGTTTATTGTAATAAAGTTTCTACTATGACATTATATTAATAAAAAAAAAAAAAAAAAAAAAAAATATCCAGAATAGTATTAATGATTTAGAAACTGACAATGAAACTAACATTAATGATAATAATAGTAGTGAAATAGAAACTTCTTTAAAAAGCAAAAAAACTACTAGTCTGCCAAAAAAAAGAAAAAAACACAGACTCAAAGCTGAAGCATGGTATTATTTTAAGTTAGAAAGAAATTTTGCAGTATGCCAAGTTGAAATAATTCAAGATGGAAAAAAAAAAATGTGTAACCAAATATGACTATACTAATTCAAATTCAATATAATCAATGAATTATCACATTATACAAGAAAATGATATAGTTCTCAAAAGTTAGACTAAAAAGGTATTATTTAATTTATCATTATACTTAATATATAGATTTATATTCAAATTATTATAATACTGTAATTATAAATTAGAAAAAAAGAACAGGTTATACTCAAACAAGTTATAGAAAATATAAAACCTCATAACCCAAATAAACAAACTAAATTACAGACAGCATGTATGGAATGGATCGTTTTGGATTCTTTATTCTTTAATACACTTCGTAAAAAGGATTTTAATAATTTATAAAGAAAATTGACCCACAATTTAAACCACTATCTAGTAAAGGATATAAAAATTTTATAGTAGTGACTTATCAAGATAGAATAACCAAACTTAAAATGAAAATTAATGAAACATGTAAATATGCTACCATTACCATGGATCTCTGAACTGCCAGATCCAAATTTGAATATATTGGTATTATGATTCATTGGCTCACGCCTAATTTTAAAATTATTGATGTACTTCTTACTATTGAATGTATACGGTACCTCTATACAGCTGAGAAAATATATGATTATTTTAATAATAAAATAGATGAATTTGACTTAAATAAAAAATTATTTCTAGAAGTTACTGATAATAGTTTTAACATGAAGAAAGCCTTTACTATGTGAAAAGATATTAAATAGTTACTCTGTTCTGCTCATACTTTACAACTGTCAGTAACAAAATGTTTAAAAAAAATTAGCTCTTATATAAAAAGATTCAAAAAATTAGTAAAATTTTTTACAAAGTCAGTTAAATAATCTGAACGGCTTGATAGGGCACAAATAGATCTTGTATAACAAAATCATATTCGAGAAGAGGATATTAAAATTGTTCGATTTAACTAATTATCATCTTTTAATATAGACAAAGAAGTTAGTTCAGAAAAAGAGGATAAAGATGATGAAGAAATTGATGAATCTACAATAAAAGTATTATGTAATATCACTGATATTTGTACTAGATGGAATTCTAGTTACTATTCATAGATAAGGCTCTTAGAATTAAAAAATGTAATAATGTGGTTAGCATCCATTTTGCCTCTAAAAAAAGAAAAAAAAAACAAAAAAGATAGTCAAATATTATCTTAATTACTGTTAAAAAATTATGAGTGAGATTTGTTAGAAAGAATTATTAATATATTAAAACTATTTGAACTTGCAACAAAGTTCTTTTTAGAAAGCAAATATCCCACTTTTTCACTAATATATTCTATTATTTGTGAGTTACAAAATAAATTTATAGATTTTAGTTTAAAACTGAGTAACAATAATGAAGATAGCGATGATGAAGATGATAAGTTTTGTTAGTTTTATCAATTCTACTTCACTAGTGTAACAATTAATAGTATTTAAAGTTTGCTGATTATTATATTATTATGATTACTAATACTAATCATTAGCGCTAGCAGATTTTAAATATTAATAATTTATATTATATAATAATGACATATATGCTTAGTTGTTACATATTATATTATATGATTTTTGTAATATTAATAATATAACAATTAAATACTATATATTAATAAGAAGTCGAATGTATTTTTCTAACTTTCTTTCGATATGTTATTAGATTCTGACAATGATGATGATACTCATTTACATGCTCCATTATTATCACCAGATCTTAATCAAATAGAAAAGCAATTTAAAATTGCTATTTCTGACTTTTTAAATAAATATTAGCATAATTTTCGTAAAGTTGGATTAGTGGCTACTCTTTTAAACCCAAACCAAAAAAATGGCTGCATTTACAAATAGAGAACAAGAGAAGGCTAAAATAAAATTAAGAAATAAATTTGAAAATTTATATCTTAATATTACTAGCAATAATCAATCAGAGCAACAAACATCAATATCAACAGTTACTGAAATCATGCAAAATCTATTTTTTGAAGGTATTTTTGGAGTACAGAATTAAGAAAATATGCCTTTAGATAAGGTGGCACGATATCTAAAGACTACCTCTATTAATTATAATGCCAATCCTTGGCAATGTTAGAATGATAATAAAACTGAGTTTTCAATTTTGTTATTGTTAGTACGTAAATATTTACGTGTACTAGCAATGTCTGTCCCTTTTGAAAGACTTTTTTCAGATACAGGAAACCTGATTACTCCCAATATACATGATTAAGTTCAAAGATTATTGAAAAAATTCTTTTTTTTAAGCATAATGCTAAATATCTAAATAGGCTTAAAAATTTATATATAACTTTAAATTCAATTTTTTTTTTTCACATGCAATTTTTTTTTCATATGTGATTCTCTTTATGTTATTTGCAATAGACTTAATCAAATAACAATGAAAAAAAAAATCCACACTATCTAGACTGAAAAAACAAATACAAGACATCAAGATAATCATTATTATCAAAAATATGTTAATGCTTATATCTATTAGAGAAATATACTACATTTTGTTATAATTACAAAGGTTAAAAGTGCTGGTAATAGATATAATTCTATTGGATAAAATAATTAGCTGGAAAGGGTTTTTATAAGAATTGTAGCTTGGCTTTTTTAATGAAAAATGATATTCAAAATTCTATTCTAAATTGCATAATATGCAATTGGTTGTTATAGTATATTCATTATAGTGATATTGTCAAGAAGGATTGAAAAGGATAAATATAGGAAATTTATATACTATTAAACATAGGATATAGATAGCACTAGTAATTTTTTTTTTGTGCATTTTGCTATAAAATTTTAACTCTGGTATTGGAATAAATTAAATTATAATTAGCACTAGTTGTTTAACAATAATATTTTCTATTTTTATTTTACTTTTAATAATCTTTCCTAACACAATATAACATACAAGTTTTAGATATTAAGCTACTAGCCAAACAGTTAAACAATTAATACAAACAATTAAATAGTTAAGAGAATTATATGATTAATAAATGGTTAAATGATCAAACGGCTAAGCAATTAATAAACTAAATATCTAAGCGATTAATAAATAGTTATATGATTAATAATTAATTAAATGGCCAAGTGATTAATATAATTAAATAGCTAAGCGATTAATAAATGGTTATATGATTAATAGCTGATTAAATAGCTAGATGATTAATAAATAGTTATATGATTAAATAGCTAAGCGATTACACAATTAATAAACAGTTAAACAATTAAACAGCTAAGCAAATATAAACGGTTATATGATTACCATATACTACTGACTATAGTACTTGGGATACTATTCTTTTAACCACTAATTTTATTGAATAGTACCTGTCTAGGTACTAATTACGGAGGCAGGTATAAATACAGGGATACTTTGTAGTAAGGGTACTTTACAATGGGTATATTAATTATATACCAGTAGTTAATAATAATTTGATATTACTATACATACTGATACCAGTGCAACATGCAAAGTTTACTTTTAAAGAAATAAAGAATATAGTATTATGTACCACTAGATAACAATATATTTTTTTTTTCTTTTTTTTTTTTTACTATATTTCTTTATACTATGGTATGTGGAAATAAGAATTATGACCAGGCTAGAATTACTAGAAAAAAAAGACAACAGTGGAATACTCGTGAGAAACTTGCAATTATTACATTTCTTGAAAAGCACCCTAGTAATAGTATTCATGCAACTGCTACACATTTCTATATAAAACCAAAGCAAATTAGAGATTGGCAGAGTAAAAAAGAAAATTTAATACATGTTTCACCTCATATTAGAAAGTTAAATAATAGAAGACTACCAAAGTATTCTAAATTAGAAAATGAAATTTATAGTTGGGTAAAAGAATTGCAAAGCACACTTAAACTTGTAACACAAGCAATGGTTCAACTTAAAGCAAAAGTATTATCAAAAAGATCTCCCTACGTTATATTATATTCTAATATTTCTGAAGCTAAATTTCCAGATAAATGGGTTGATAGCTTTATGACTCATTACAAATTAAGTAATAGACATAGAACAACTATGGCCTAAAAACTTCCAAAAGATTTACAACCTGCGTTATAGAAATTTTTAAGTTTGATTGTATATTGTAGAATTCAATTCAATTATCTGCTAGCCTTAATAGGTAATATAGATGAGGTTCCTATGTCATTCGATCTTCCTACCAATATAACAATTGATGATTATAGTACAAATATAGTTTCATTAAGAACCTCTGGTTATAAAAAATCAAATTATACTGTTGTACTCACCTGTATAGCAGATGGAACTAAACTTCTATCTGTTATTATTTTTAAACTTATGAATATTCCAAGGCAAATATTTCCTGCAGGTGTAATTATTTGTGCAAATCCTAGTGGATAGATGAATTCAAATGAAATAATATAGTAGATAGAGAATATATGGAATCATAGAGGAAGGACAGATCCACACTCACTTTTAGTTTTAGATTCATTTAAAGAACATGTAGAAGATACTGTTAAGCATTAATTTTTTGAAAAAAATACTAATTTAGTCATAATTCCAGAAGGTTGTACTTCAAAATTGCAACTATTAGATGTGGTTGTAAATAAATGGGCTGCCATTAATAGAAATAAGGCAGATTGACATTTTAAAAAAAATTAATATCTTAACTTTCACAGTTTGTATCTCAATGAATTTTAAAGTTATCTTGATGATTTAATATTCAGAAGAAAGCTTAGATCATAAGCTTTCTTTTGACTATTAAATAATCAAGATAGGCTTAAAATTCATCGAGAAACGAGCTATGAAAGTTAGGGTATTAATTTTTTTTAAAATATCAATCTGCCTTATTTCTATTGATAGCAGCCCAAATCATTTAAGGCAAAAGTACTTTAATAAATTTATTTATTTATTGTTATTATATAAGTTATATACCAAATTAAAATCTAAACCTAAATATTAATATATTCAGTTCCAGGTTTTAATTTAGAAAAACTCATATTTAAATAAACAATTTAATAAATTTTATTTTAGATATGGAATTATTATAAAATTGGCTAGACAATGGTATCTTAACTTATACTAAGACAGTCATATTCAAACCTTGTATATAATTTGATTGCTTAATGGATACTTTAAGCATAAAATGAAATTGATCCTAACCTTATACAAAAAGCTTTCAAGTGTTGTGGTATATCTAACTCATGAAATAGCACAGAAAATAGCTTAATTTTTGATTATAAACTTGGTTAATATACAAACCCACATAACTATGTATATATGCAAGATGAGTTTGAAAACCTAGTAAAAGTTCAGGTTTAAATATTGCTGAAGATTCTAATACAAACACTGTTGAAGGTTCTAATGCAAATGCCAGTGAAGGCTCTAATACAAATACTAGCAAAAACTTAAATATAAATATTAATAAAAGTTTATAAAATATAATTTAGAGTTTATAAGTTATTAATTAATAATATAAAGTTTTTGTCTTGAAAATAGCCTTATAGTACATGGCAGTTACTATGTGCTATTAGATTATCTTCAAGACAAAAATTTTATAATATAGTATTAACTAATTTATAAGTTTTTAATTTAGTAGAGGTAGTTAATCTTATGAGTGAAAATAATACTGACAATAAAGCTAAAGCCAATTCTATATATGAATATGAAGCTAATTCTAATAATGATAATGAAGCTACTTTTAATAGTGAAAGTAAAGATGATTATTATAGAGCAGAGGAAATTAATTATATTAATAATTGAGCATAATCTTATAAATCTTGTAATTCAAAGGTGAAAGCCTAAAGGTAAGTAAGAAGTTTTTTTTTTGTATTTTTTTCTAATATAATATTATTAAATTTATTAATTATATTGCATCTAATATTTAAAGTCGAATACTAAAGATTATAACAAAGCAATTGCAGTTTAATATCATGATATAAAATTTATATCAAAAAAATTGAAAAAATGGTGAATTATATAGTGAAAATAAATCAAACTTTTTTTTTACTTGCATGTTAATTGCAATTTTTTTTTTTACTTATATGTAAATTTCAATTTTTTTTATATATAAAATATTAATTTGTAATTTTTTTTTTTTTTTTTTTTTTTTTTTTTTTTATTCTTTGACAGTCTTGTCAGTGCTACAATACAAATATTTACATGATGAAATCTGTCTTAAAAACTAAAACCTATTTCTAGTAAATGCCTTTTGCAATTACGAGCCCAGTATCACCCAGCTACAGATACTGCACCCAGATACAACTTGTTGTACTGATTCATATACATGTCAGGAGACTTTGTCAGCCTGTCAAGAACTAATCCCTTCAATTTTTCTTTCTTTACTGAGAGTACAAGAAAGTAAAATTTTGTATTACCAATACAGAACTAATATTAAGAAGCAAAAAGAAAACTAAAACTAAAAAAAAACATATAAACAAAATAGAAATCAAAAAGGAAGACAAATGGGGGAAAGAGAAATATAAAAAAAGAAAAACAAAGAAAAAAGCCTCTATGGGCTAACCAATCCACCTCTATCAAGAAGCAGTTTGTGGTCAAATAATAAAAATTATATAACTACTGCAACTATAGTATATCTCGATTGTAAAATTTTGCTTTACATAGAATCTTCTTTCCAACATATAACTAAATCTGAATGCGAATTATAAAGAAAGTCACAGTTCTCTGTATGTAGCACCATGTTTATTATTATAATTACCCCAAACACATAGTTGCAATCTACCTGGTCATCCCAATTTGGAAGGAATAAACAATGCCGATCTTCTAATAGGAGTAAGCTGTTTTGCTCACTTTTTTTAAAAATTTTGTTAAAAGCACAAGTGGGTGATAGTAAAGAATATTGACCTTATACTTTTCTTCAAGAAGAGTATATGTTTCTTCAAAAATAGTAATACAAGTAGGTTTAAGTATACTGCTGCTCTTCTTTTTGATAAGTGATAAACTCTGAACTTGTTAGCAAATAGCATATGAGAACTACTTCTAAATAACAAATGCCATCTCTATAGTGAGTGATAAGCTCTGAAACTGTTAGCAGATAGCATATACACTGGCAATTATAAATAATACAACACATGATTATTTTTATAATAAAACATAGTAACTTTGGAAATTTTCATCTATGATAAAAATTTTTAACAAAAATTTT